AAGGATTTCAGCAGAATTTATGTTGTAGGGTCCCAGATTGTCACCTTGAAAATTCTTAGCCTGAGTAGACATGTGATTGGCTGTATTCGGAATTTCTGCTTCCTCAGCGTTACATGCTGGTGAGTTTTAAGTAGCTCAGCACTAGTGACTTTAGACAACTGCCTGCTCCCCACACCAGCTATCTGTGGTCTTCTGAAATATCTAGAGATGGCACAAACAAACCCTAACCTTGCTAAATCTTACTGCCACAGTTAAATAATTTGCCCCTTGTCTTCTTCCCTGTTGCACAACCTATTTATTCCACATCTCTCTGAAAGGATGCCTTTACAAAGCAACACTGGCAGACAGCAATGTGTGCTTGTAGCATAGCCACAGTACTGTATGGTCTGACACTGCATGGCTCCAGCTTCTTTCTTTAGGCAGGTTTAGCCAGGCCAGCTAACGGGGATATCTCCCATTGTCCAACACTTCCCTCTGCAATGGCTATCACCTCATAACAGGGACAGATGCAGAGGATGTGTATCCACACCTCAGCTGTCAGAGTTTGCAGATGTTATCAGTGTAAAGGAGGGCAGTTCAGAGGCAACCAAGAGTCCTATTCAGCTCTTCCCTCCAACTTTTCATACAGGGACAAGGCAGACCCTGTTTAGCAGCAGCAGCTAAATCTCCCTGCAAATATGAGTCAGAGACATCATGAGTCTAAATTACAATGCCAGGTTACCATCCAAGGTAGCTTTGGTAGCTTTGTCTCCTATATAGAAATCCTAGGCACATGATACACAAGACTCTGGACTGCACCCTGCACCCAAAGACACATCTGAAACTCAGCTACTATAGCAGCAGAGAAACATATTGCTTCTTTTCAGCTTAAGCTGATTGTGGAAGCAGAACAGTCCAGAACCCAGCATCATTAATACTACTCGACCTGGAATTTTATTCCTGCCATCCCATGACACCTCTAACATTTCAGGTTTGCACACACAGAGACCAAAGTTGTAACTACACCCTATGTAAGCTAGTCTGAGCCAGCTTGAAACCAGATCAGGACACTGTTGCATTGATGCTTACGGCCCATAGCTGCAGTGAGAAGGGAGAAGTCATGCTCCCTGTTTCAAATTCAAACTCGTAACTAGCCTTCATCTATAACATCAAACAGATTCAACTTGGCAGTTATCTGTACAATCACTACTACTGGCTTAAAAGAAAGCATAAGACTAGGTTAGAGTTTTCTTGGTGGGAGAATGGAACTCTAAGCACCCAGGAGTACTGACTTCCATCAGTGTTAGCCAAGCATGCAATCACACCAAGCACCAGCAATGCTTCAAATACAGCAGCATTCATGTGGAAACCTAGATTAAAAAAAAAAACAAACAAAAACCAAACCCAAATATTCTGGAAACTAAAGACGCTTTATGTCACCCTATCTCTGTGTCTTAAGCTAGTTTGGCTACTTCCAGATTAGCTCAGGTGTACCTGAATGAGCTGCAGCCACACCTCTGACTAGGGTATGGGTTGCAGAAATGTGAGAAAAAACAGTGAACTGAATGGATTTCAAATGCCACAACCTAGGTTAGAAATGCTACATCCCCTTCAACAATATTATTTTAAAATAAATAAATAAAAAAACACAAACCCCACAAACAAACAAAAACCCAAAACAAAAACAACAACAAAAAAACACAAAGAAAAAAAAAACACGAAAAGATAACCTTCTTGCAAAGTTCAGGGCAGGTGCTGTTCAGAAATTATTTTCATTCCCAAAGGTTGTTTTGGGCTTTGTGTTGGTAGTTTGTGTTTTTGGGGGGTGGAATTGGGTTGTTGGGGTTTTTTGATTTTCAGTTTGTGGGTGTTTGGGTTTTTTTGTTTCTTTTGGTTTGGCTTCTGTTTTTTTGTTGGTTTTTTTGGTTGCGTTGTTTGGGTGGGGTTTTTTTGAGTGTTAAAAATTCTTCATGAACACCTTTATTGTACTCCACCATTTAATACAACAGGAGATATATCACGTTAATGTCCTGGTCAGACATTACCAAGAATCAGACAGGGAATGGAGATCAGAACTAACACTCCTATTTGGTGAATCTGTTCCATATAACATGATGCTAATTACATTCTAGCGAAATTACATTTTTCATTTTCAGTCTGAAATTAGCTCTTAACTATTACCCCCTCCCCCCCAGGTTTGCTTGGATTTTTTTGTGCAATCCCAAACAGTATGCCTGGAGGTGGTAGACAGATTGCAGCTGCATTTACCTTTTTTTTATCAGAGGCATCATTTGTAAGGTAAGAACAATCTTTAGTGAACACTTTGGTATCTCTTCAGACCATATCTAGAGCTCTAGTCAAATAGATAGTGAAATCAACATCAAAACTTTGTACATCACAGCTTGAATTCCAAGGTATCTGAATTTGAAGAAGCCAGCGTCCCAAGAGCTTGGTAATGAGGTTTTTTACAGGCAAATTCCCTTTTATCAGTTTCTCCATGACAGAAATCCTTTATTCAGCCTCCTCATCAAGGAAAAAAAAAAAAAAACAACTTATATATATACATACACATGCATACACATATATAAATGCCAATACCTGTGTGAATACTCGTAGGGGAAGACACAGGAGCTTCACTGCTTCAGTTGTATGAGTTAATGTTTGTGTATTCTAAGAGATCTTTCCTTATATACATTTCAGAGTGTTCTCTCTATGAATTTTAATGGGTTTGGCTGTTGGGTTTTTGTTATCCTTGATGCATTTTGCACTAGATGATTTCTAAAGGATAGCTGTAGTGATGAGAAGCACAGGTCCAAGATCAGAGTACAAACTCTGTAACTGCATAAAACCTGATTTGAATAGAGTTATACAGGAATCATTCTGAATTAAGTTCTTCATACAAGAATGCTACTTCCAAAACATGCACTATACAATTTCAGGAATCATATTTTCTTTCAGGTGAACAAGAGATTAATCCAGTTCAGTCATTTATGTTTCAGCCCTGAAGTATCCTTAGCTGAAATTCTGGGTTTATATAGTCTTTTTCATACCACAGTTCTTGCCAGCCATGTGAAACTGTGTACTTTTAAAAATTACCCAGACATAGGTAGTGTACTTAACTAAGTGCACCGACAGGCGAAAAATGTGCAATTTGACATGAGATTCCTGAGAGGTTTTCCATGTCTTCACCATAAATTGATGATAAATTAGCTTTTTGTTACAGTCTTTACCAAGTTGGTAGCTTAGTAGGTTTGAATACATGACTCAAATGTAGAAAATCCTGGTATAAAGAAACTGTGCCTGGGATTTGCCAATTCCCACAATGTCTCTTCTATTTGCAATTTTACCCCAATTGATGTGCCTGCAATTAACAGTTCTGCCTCCCCTGTCTTTGACATTGACTTAATCCTTCGAGAAGACAGATTATTGCAAAAATTGCTTTTGGCTGGAAAGGTAAAGACCTGAGTGCCCCTCAAAAAGGGCAGGCAGAAGAATTCCTTCCTCTGGCATTTTAGTAGTGCAATAATACATTTATGCTTATATCTTTATAGAAATGAAGGCCAGAGACTTCCCTGGCAGATAACTGTTATCAGTCAGATACTATCATTTTTCCCCAGACACCTCATCTCAGATCTTACATGGATAACATGTGCTAGTCATTTAGTACAGCCTCATTTACATAGAGCACAATGAATTACATTGACTCTAAGGTCTTTGCTATTTAAGAACGAAACCAAACAAAGCCAAGTTCACATGGAGTTTGGCTGGCAAGACTTGCTTTAATAAAACAACTTTGGATATTTCCAATTATAAGATCTCAGTTTTCTATAATCCTTACCAAGCCAGGTACAATTAAGTTTGTAACAAAAGGGCACAAGAGGCAAAAAGAAAATTTAATAGTGTGTCACAAACAGCTTCATTCCCCTTCCTGCAAACACAACAGAAATCACATCCCAATTTCCATGTAGCAAAAACAAGTTAATTTCCTCCTGCAGTGTGTTATTCTGGACAGCAGCGCTGCAATGCATACTGCAACAGAGTACAAAGCAACAGCAACAACAAAAAAATAAATCTAAGTACATCCCTTGCCCAAGTAACTACTAGTTCAGTCTTGTTTTCATTTCCTCTGTCTTACTTCTATTCAACATGAACAAACAAAGTAGCACCTCACTATAGTTTGGATCTGATATTCACGATAAGACCACACAACGGCCTCAGCTTGAAACCTTAATGGAAGAGATATCCTCCAAGCCTCTCCATCTTGCAGTTTACATTCAACCCACAGTTCCCAAATTCAGCCTTTCATCCCACCTCAGACAACAGTCCCCTGTGGCTGGGGACTGCTGTTTAGGAAAAGCTCCTGGAGAGCTGCAGGAAATTGAAATTCTTTCCATGCCCAATATTAAACAAGCCTGTGAATCTGTAGAGGGTGAGCAGAGAACAGTCTTTTACAGGCTTGCAACAGCACAGGTATGAAATCTGAGCAGGATCTGAATAGCAAACCTAGTTGTCAGGAAGAGATCCCCCAGAGAAGGAGGTGGGGTCACCCTCCTCTTTCACCTGTAAGAGTGAACTGTTTTATGCATAACTCCATAAACAGTTTCCCTTTCCCTAATAAACTCCATCTTCAGTTTCTCCCATGCATCTGCTGTTGCTGTGCTTGCAACACTTAGCTCTGCATTAAAGAATAACAAAAAGCAGTTTTGATCAGTGAACTCCAAGCCCATGTTATTTGTGTTACAAGCAGGAATCAGGCGAGAACCAGAATAAGTAACTAACCAGATCAGACAGTGGGAGTCAGTCCTCCCACTCCACAGCAGGCCAAAGATGGGAGAGACTTCTTTAATGAGGTTGGCAGCTACTGCTTTGATAGAGTGGGGAAAGTATAATAGCTCACAGCACACCAACTTTAAAAGCAAACACCCTAAGGTAAATGTGCAGACATGGAGTCTCTTTTAATCGTGCGTAGCCTCTGATTTTGAATCCAGGACAGCCTGCTCCTTCTGCCCATCTCCATTTACGTGCACTGCTCCAGCTACCTCCTCTCTCCCACGCTGCTGGTGAGGTGCTGACGGACAGCTGGCAGCTACACCTGGCTCAAACAGTCCATGTTGCTTAGTGATGCATTGCTATGCCAGCCACATTTTTATGAAGGGCACTGCTGGTAGCTCCTCATCTCAGCACTTGGATAGGAAGAAAACTGCCCAGAAAGGACTGGTTATCTTGCCCGACCCAGAGCACATATACAAACAAAATGACAGGGGAAATACCCATGCTAGGGCTGATCTCTCAGGCCTTAGAGAAGTCTTGTTGCTATACCTTCTCCCTCCCTGCACTGAGCTAGAAAATCAACCCATGGTCACTATCAGTCTGACAGCGGTTAGAGCCACCATCCCACATGGGCTGTGGGGCACTCGGGCCCAGGTACCTCCATGCTGCAGCTGGTATGGGTGGGATTGCAACAGAATGCCTGATGGCAGTCTTAGCACTGTAAATGGAGGGAATCAGAGCCTGTATGGATCACTTGGTACCAGCCCACACAGGAAAAGTGTCAGAGCTGAGCTGACCCAGCCAAAAGCAGTAAACTCAGAAGTACCCCTAGATACAGCCAGTACCTGTCCCAGGCAACTCATCAGCTCATTAAGCTGAAGTAGAACCACCACTGCCATGCCCAAGAAAACATTTACTACCACCATTATACAATGCCTGGCATCCAAAAAATCCAGAATGATGGATTTTCTGCACCCTTTTCTGCAGAGAGAAGAGTGATCTTCCACAGCCTGTTGATGGTGTTCTTACAAAGGAAAGGTAGTCCTGGAAACTGCTGTGAACTTACAGTGCTGCATGATGTATATCTGGAATAAAAGAGTTACCCCTTATCCAACAGATTGCTGTCCAGTCTACACAGGACATGCAGAAATTTCAGTGCTATCAGCTCACAGCATTATTACAGCACCTTTTTAGCTCAACGTCCTCCACTGGATAGCCTTTCTCTGAAAATCTATACTTTACTGCATCAAGAGTACTATATTCTATTCAAATTCAGTTGTAAAAGTACTTACAATTTGAAAATAAAACCCTTACAAGTAAGAACCCCAAAATTACACAAGCACCCCAAAACAGAGATTAGTGTTGCTTTCTTTATATTTTTCTCTACTTTTCTAAGGAATCTAACTGAGCAATTCATAACATAGTTTGATGTTAAGAACGAAAAAGGATTTTATTTTGTTGTAATTGCGGGTTTAATATAAAGGTAGTATTTCGACTTAATATTAGGTCTGTTTCAGCTCAGCTCCCTACTCTGAACACAGATCTGGTTTCAGAATTCCTCAGGTTGGGGAGGGCAGGCTGGGAGAAGGGGAAGAATGAAATAAATATAGTCAGAGGATTTCTCTGATAAGACAAGTAGCAATGTTAAAGTTTCATATGGGCTTTTTTTTGCAAGAAAGGATATTGAAGTGGTAAATTTCTGTATTTTTACTTTCTTAATTAAGAATCAGGAAACTGAGACACGTATCATGGCACTACTGAGCCTCTTAGAGTGACTGGAAGACCTAGCTCAGGTTAAAAGCCATGGACAAGATTAAAAGGCACATCTGTGAGCAGATGACCTGCCCTGTGCAGACAATCCTTTAAAAACTCCATGATCTCTTTGGAGGTTTTACATGGGAGCAACAGGGCGCTAATCAGTCACCTGGCATTTCACATCAGAATTTCAAGAGGAACAAAGAAAACAACTGAAATTAACAACCTTTTTTTTTATGCTAACTACGATAGTTGGGAGATAGAAGAAGTGTCCCAGTCTGAATTGTTTTTCTCCTTTCAACGCTGGCTTCATTGCTTCCCTGCTCAGTACAGCATGTTCTATCTTCCACTTTGTTTCAGACGGCACTTAGGAACTTCAGAAAAACAGCACATGCTCGCAGAGAAAAATCTTGAAGGATTGGCAGATACTTGTGATTTCTGAGCATCAGTGGGGTTTTCTGACTACAAATTGTTCAGATGTTGCGTGCTTGACAGAATCTATTCCAAGCTTGTTGTTTCCCTGCTCTTTTTCACAGATTTAGAGTCACTGATGAATGCTATGTGTACCAGCCCAGATGCTCTGTTCTAGCTATAAAACAGTTTTAGTCAGCTAACTGGATAAGAGAGCTTAAAATAGTGCAGCCCTTTACTCTTTATCAGCTTAACATTTTCCACTACACACCACCAGACTCTGAGAACCAGCCTGTTTATAATTTACATACATTTTCTGGGGCATTGTTTGACGTTGTTTTAACATTTGATTGAAAGAAAATAGGATTTTACTCTTTGCATTGTCATTTTAAATAGTGCCCAAAAATCTCAGCTGAGCACTTTTCTATTACAGCAATTACTTGCAAATTAACAGACCATTTGCAAGGATTTTGCCTTTCTTTCAGTTTTAGAAAAGACCCTGTTCAGGGATTTGTGCCTTGTGTCCTAAAGCCAAATTCTATTTTCTAGACTCCCTCTAGACACTGGAAAGAGCCTTATTATTTGACCTTTGTCAGTTTTTAGATGAAAAGACAAAACTTTCCCTTATTTTTCATCTGCATAGTTGACACAGTGTTACACTGCCATTACCAAGGTTATTTATCTGAACTTCTAAGGATCAGGAACAGAGATCAAAACCTAATTCTAGTTCTAATCATTGCAGAATAAAGAATCAAATGGCGCTTACTTTAAGACAAAAATCATTTTGACATGTTGAATCTCTCAAATCCCTAGTGGCATCATGCCTTTTGGCAAAGCTTGTGACACTAGTCATGCCAATAAAGCAGTTTGAATGGAGCTGCCTTTTTGCCCAATCCCACTTAAACCATAGTAATTGGTTCAGACATAGAGGCTCAGCTTCCTCAACGAGTGCTAAAGCTACCAGCCAAATTTGAAAATGTTTTTTTCAAGCCTGGCAAAATAAAATGTAAAAACAAATGTTCCTGTTCATGTCACTAGCCTGGAAGGTTTTTTATTATTTCCAGCCTCACTGATTTTCCATGTGTATTCACATCCCAAGACATGCTGACCGGTTTCAAGCAAATGTGCCAGAAGGGGAGAAAGGTGTTTAGTTCCTACACATTTAAAGAAAAGGAAAGGAAAAACTGATTAGCCCCTGACTAAAGGGTGCTGTACAAGTAGAACCCAGAAATTCTTGTAGGTTGAGGACAAACTATTCTATGATTCTATGAAACATCTTAAAGACAGAAAAGGCTTCCCTCAAAATTCAAACCACTTTAGATGTCAGAAGATACATGAAGACACACCAGCCTTACGAAGCCACTGTTCAACAGCCAGATCATTCCAGAGACCTCCTTCGCTTAAGAATAGTTGAGGGGTTTTCAACCTTATAGAAAGGATTTTCCATCTCTAGGAAGGCATGGATATTGGTATGCTGCTCAACTTCTTGTAAAAGTAGAAACACTGTACACGTTCTCTTTGGGTATCTGGGAAACACTCACTGTCAGAAGTGTTATATCAGAATCTGGCATTTTGTGACTCACTCAACACTGTCTAGATATGGCTGTCATTTTTATCAAAAACAGATATTGACACAACAACTAATAATTGCTCCCTACACCAGTTTCAAGTGCTGTGTAAAAGAGTGTCACCTTCTTCAGACTTTTCCTTATTCTGAATTATCACAGAACCAACCACATCACATCTAAACCTTCAAAAGCAGGGACAAGACCTTGGAAGTCTTTCAATATTTAAAGAGTGACAGTACTTTGGCTGCTATGTGTGGTCCCTATCAGAGATGCACAGGCAATTTATTTTCACCACTCCTTCCCAGTAGCAGTTTGATATTTAAAGGAAATAATGAAGTAAGCTTTGTTTTACCCATTGAAGTAAATCATTGGAGTATATGAAGAGATGAGCAGGCTGGACCAAAAACACTTTAGCATTTCCCCCAATTCATATTTGCTTTGTTATCAGTCTTGTTTTATAAACAAGACTGGGGATCTCTCTAGTTGGTGATTCCCTCCTCCTAACCCTCTATTCCTTTAGCAGGACTCTTCTAATCTACTTGGGAGCAGTAATCATACAGAAAATAGTCAAACTGCTAAAGTTCTCCTTCCCATCATCCTTTTTTCCTCATGCTGACCCAGCATCTCACACATTCTTCAAGCCTTTTGTCTTCAATGTAAATGAGCAATTAATTCTATCTAATACTTTAGCATCCTGATGAAATATCATTTTCCCTTGGTGGATTCTCGTCCTCTGGGACTTATTCTACAGCTCTGAAGTAATCCCTTTCAGTATAGACAATACTGGCATTTAAGAAAGACATGAAAAAAGAATAAACCACTTAATAACAAATTAGTCCTTCAGCTTATATTACATACTAGAAAGAAACAAGAGCTGTGAATTCACAAGAGGAGGTATGAAATATTCTTTCCTCTTAGAGCCTGCTTTGATCCTATTCTAAAAAAGGAAACAATATTATTCTAGTTCTCCCTTTTTTGGAGCTGCTCTGTAATTTATTTCTTACAGAAACCTCTGAAGGGTTGAAGACCCCAGGGATTCTGCAGGTGTGTTGAACTGCAGTGCTGCACATTTATGACCTTCAGAAGTGTATTCTGCTATGCTGCTAAAGTCTTTTCTCCCTGTATCCGCATCAATAAAATGCTGTTCAACTGCATTTTAGCAACTGAAGAGTTTCTAATGCAGCTCTGATCTCTTACATGTCAGACATACGGATTTCCCCTGGCAAAACTCCTAATGACGCACCAGTCTTACTGTAACCAGATAGGAAAGCAGGATAATTTCCCTTATGTAGATAGTAATGTCCAGCATATACCACAGCTTGGATTCCGATCTCAATAACATTTCACTTATTTACTGGCTGTGGTAAATGCGGTTTAACTAGGTTAATGCTTTTTGTGAGAAGACATCTGCAGACCCCACATACTACATCAAAGTATAATACTGAATCCAAAGCAAAGCAGATTCACCATCAAGAATTATTATAAATCTCTTTTTATATAAATATGGAAACAGCAAGTATATGTGTTCTATTCTCAAATACTTACATTGAAGTCATACACTTGGTATTCCTGACAGTTGAATCAGTCTGAAAGCTGGCTATTATCAAGGTCTGATGCATTCATAAACACTGCTGTCATGTTCCAGTACCCTCTTGGTTTCCAGCATACATCCTAAGGAGCTGACTTGAACAAAAATAAAACCAAAATCAAAAACCAACAAACCAACAGACAAAAAACCCCACTCCCATGCCACGCACTAAAAAGTCCAAAAATACACCCCCCCAAACCAAAAATTTTATTCCAGATTTACAACTTTTAAAAAATTGTCTCACCTCTCTGAAAGCCATTAACACAGGTTCTTGTTCTACTGCTAATGTAAAGAACAAACCTTGT